ACAAGTCTCCATAATATCTGCTCGAATGAATCTTTGTGTCTTTTGCTTTTATTATTGTGTTTTATTATTTCTTATATTTGTTTAAGTGTGTTTCAGGTTTGTCAGAGTTTGTTATTTCAGGTGATGTTTTCTATACTCTATTTTTCTACTTTAGAACATTAAGGACAATGTCTTATTGTAGTTGGGGGGAGAGGGTAGTAGTTGACAAAAAAAATTAACTAACTATGTTTTTTATTTTATAAAGCATATGCAAACTTGTTGTTACTAGGATGGCAGAGTAAAGGAGCTCTTTTGTTAAAGTGACTCTTGAAACGCATCTTAGTAACCATTCTTAATAAGGTTTATTATAATACTTCTTGAAATATTCAGGTTTACAATCTCTCGTATTATTATCACTTAATTCTGCTTATGTACTCATTTAACATGTATCCTTAAACCTTAATTTTCACACACATATTTTAACAAATGATTGTGGGTTGCACATTGGATTATTACATTATTTATGTTCTTTTGTTAAAGGTAACAACTAAGGGAAAGGGATAATATATAATTTGAAAAAAAAAACAAAAAAAAGAGAAAAAAAAATGATGATAATAAAAATGTAGATAAATTTGGTTTCGTAGCCTCCCTAACCTAAGCAATTAAGCCCGAATGAGTGTTTTAACACGTAATACCCTAAAGTCAACTGACTTGGGAGCTATTGGCCCAACGCTTGTTACATGGGTTGAGGAGAAAAGCTTAAGGGAATCAAACATTGCACTATCTACATATCAACTTAAGAAAATTAAACATTGCACTATCTACGTATCAATATCTGCAACTTGAGTTACTAAGCTTGCAGGGGTGTCTCAACACCTAATGCTCTAAGACCAACTGGTTTGGGAGTCATTAGCCGAAAGCTCATTACATGGGTTAAAGACACATTGTATTTTAAGGTACATGTATATATTTAAAAAAACAAAGAAAAAAGAAAAAAAATCACAACCTAAAGAAGTTAACCTTAAACATTAGAACAAGAATTTTGTTTTCTTCCGAGTAAAGCCCCATAACTATATGTTGATATATTGAGCACAAAAGAAAGGTTTATTAATATCTTGTTTAAGAGATATTGAGCAGATATATAAATTTAATGAGAGTTTGTACATCTGGATAGATTAATAGAAGTTGCATGATGAATACCATGCTTTGTGGAATTTACAAATTGTTTTTTCTATTTTAACGCTTTGATTACTAGGAACTAGTAATAAGTTAGTTGGGGGGGTGTGATTAGTATTTAAAAGTGCATTTTTATCAAGGTTTTATATCATCATTTTACACTTGAAATATCAATAACTCCTTAACTAAAGTATTTTTTATAATAATATATGATGCCTTCAATTTGTGGTAAATATTTATTTTAAATGCAGGTTTATCATATAAATGAAAGGATTGATTGATGACTTTAAGAACTGAAATTGAAAGGACAAAGAGATGGCCAAACTTAGAAAAGAAATGGTGGTGTAGTGCAAACAGGAATATTGTTTAGTAATTGAGTCATATCTAAAGCTGTAGATCTCGGATTTAGGTGTGAGTATAGATTCTTTTAGGTGCGTTGAGCATACTTGCTAATTTCATATGTATTGACTTAACAATTTCAATAAAATTTTGAATGGGAAAAAAGATGCAATGTTGTTGCATCCTATAAGTTAATGATTGTGCATCAAAAGTGTCATTAAGTCTCTTATTTTACATATGTATTTATTGTTTTTATTTGGTTGTTTTTATAATAATTGATGTGTTTTTTAGTAATGAAGTTTGTTTTAATGTTTCAATAGGTTTTTGGAGCTTAAATGAA